CTGCTTGTTAACTTTGTGCTGGTTTCCATGGTAATAAAATGATTTACAGCGCATGCACTGTACCACAATTGCATCATCTGAACTCAGTTGCAAGTTTCTCTGTCTTTGCATTACATCTCCTTGTGGTTTTATTAAATTTACTTATTGATGGATTTTGTTGATGGCCTTGTTTGCATAGGGTAGATTTGAGATCTGTCTAGCATCTGGTTGCATTATAATTCCCTTTATGTCATGTTTCACATGCTTCACCGTGGATCGACATTTTGGAAATATTGTAGCATTTCTAATTTTCGATTGGTGCTTGAAATTGGTTTGAATGCAAACGGGAAGAGAAAGTTACCGTGAGCAAGGGAATGAAATGCGATAACATCAAGTACAGACTGCTGTGGTGTTGCATTGGAATGACATTGCGTCATTCAGGGCTATAAGCTGCTTTCTAGTTCAAGAAACTGAAAATGTTTTTGTTTAATGGAAGTGACAATTTTATAGGAAAATAATGCCGGAATAGGAACGGGAGGCTCACAGCAAAACTGCTTTCATAAAATAACATGTAGAAAGTTTGACATTCTCTCAGTTATGTTTCTTTGTGCTATACCGGTTTTTCAAAGAAATCCTTGAGGATGTTGTTCCATCAATGGATTTGGCTATTTCATCTATTTGAAACTTAATTTAAAATGTTTATCCTCTAAATGATTTGCTGAAGTCAGGGTTTGATTTGGCGCATTTAAATATGTACAGACATATTCTTTTATATCTCTGGTAATGGAGAAATTGTCCTGATGATTTTTGAGAGCCCATTTTGATACAGGTTTCTCAAGCCACTGGGCCTAATCTTGTTTCTGTTCTCATGGCCTTGAGCATCATCATCTTTCTCCTCTCCATTCCTGCGCTACCTTTTTTTAACACCAAGTTCACTTACTGCAGCAGTTATCTAATGAATGGACAAACGTTATGACTTTAGTGTGAAACCAGCTTTGTGCTTAGTTCTTTTTGCCAGAGGATCCTTTTCTGTCCATAGTTAACTATCTCGTGCCGCCTGTGTGATCCCATTTGACGTGAGTTTTTTTAAATTTGTTCATGGAATGTGGGAATTGCTGGCTGGGTTAGTTTTCCTTGTTTATTCTCGGCTAAATAACCTGCTAGGCCATTTCAGAGGGCAGTTCAATGGAAGCCCACCATATTTCTGTGGGTGTACAGTAACGTAATATGTTGACAGACATAACCTAAAGATATAGTTTTGAGTTGAAAAGTTGAGGCTGATTCCTAATGTAAATGTAGCCATCAATATGTATTTGTTCACTGAAAAAAATGGGGGGGTGTATTTATTTATGTGCTTATCCTACACCTGAACAGTTATTTTGGTGCTGAGAAAATGGGGTAGACTTACGCATTGCAATGTCTGTTAAATAAGAAGTGACAGTGGTGAACAGTTGGTAACCAGAAGAGACAGATTTAGGATTACTGGCACAAGAGTCAACTGCAATTTGAGTAAACATTAAGCAGTGAGTTGTGATCTGGAATGCACTGCCTGAAAGGGTGCTGGAAACAGATTTACTGGTGAAATTCAAATGATAATTGGATAAATACTTCAAGGTGCAAACATGGAATTAATTATTTTGCTTCTTTTTCCTCCACTTTTCTGCCTGGAGGCAGGGCCTTGGTGATTATTTGCTTAACTATGGAAAATTGCTGTAATCTTTTAGAACTAAGAGGGCACAGCAACAGAGCATGGAATAGGGATTGAACCCTGTGCTGGTGATGCTCGATTGATCAACACTCAGACCGCCTATCCAACTGAGCTAACTGGTTCCCCTTAGCACACTGAGCACCAGTTAATTTGGCATATCCTAACTAGTCACGTTGCTGGTACCAGGTCATGCAAGGGGTCCATTCATTAATGTCTTAGTCTGGTGTTGTCAGCAGTCTTAGGAGCAGGTTTGGATTTCATTTGCAAAATGATTTGTGTATTTCACGAAAACAACTGGTCCGATTATGGTTTAACATTTGTGATGGCTCAGCAGACTCTTTTCTGGTTTCCTTTCTGGTAATAGAATAAATAAATTTAAATTGAGTGGATGCATGATTCTGGCCTCTAATACATGCAAAGATGGTTCTTCAACACAAAATTCTGTAGTTGCTCGAAACCTCGAATGGAAAGTGCTGGAAGCATTCAGCAGGTCAGGCAGAATGTGTGGAAAGACAAACTGAGTTAACAGGTCGGATTCTCCCGGGCTCTGGCGTGGCCAGCATGGTTTGTGAGGGATCAGGAATTTGAGAGGACAGCTGGTGTCCCAAGCCGCCTGAGGACATTTCCCTGTTGCCTGGTTCCTCTTTAAACAAGTTGCAGATAACTCCAACCAGAATGTTATGAACGAATTTGTCCGGATGCCCCACAATACCAAAGCGGTCACATCAATACGAGCATAAGCCGGTACCAAAAAACTTTATTAGGAACAAAATTTCAGTAATTTTTAATACGAGATATATTATCCCTAATCCTACTTGGCCGCTTATGGTTACAATACTTCCCGAATCTGTTGTAAATTTACACGGTTGCGCTCTGTGTGGCTGTGTCTCTGGGTCTGTAAAACTGCTTTCTCAATGACTCCATGCCTTTATGAGCCGGTTTGAATCCCATCACGGCAGATAGTGGTATTTGATTCAATAAAAATGTAGAATTAGATGTCTAATGATGACCATGAATCCATTGTCAAACGTTGGAAAAACCCATCTGGTTCACTGATGTCCTTCAGCAAAGGAAATTGCCATCCTTACCTGGTCTGGTCCACATATGATTTCAGACCCATAGCAATGTGTTTGACTCTTAAACTTCACTCTGGGCAATCAGGGATGGGAAATAAATGCTGGCCTAGCCAGTGACACCCACATCTCCTAAATGAATTAAAAAAAAAAAAGCAGTTGCTGGTTTTACCAGTAGTGGATGGTTTATAGATGCGTACGACTGGAGATTATCGGGCAACCGGAAGCTAATTAGTCCGTGAATGACCAGTTACCAATGACTAAGGTCTTCTGCCTTCCAGCAATGATGACGTTCTTTCCCAAGTAGCTGAACAGTTTAGGGCTCTGAACAAGATAGGAGAACCATCAGATCTCTTCAAGCTCAGGATCTGTCTTGGTTCTCTGCACATAATGCAATTTAAGTTTGAAGAAAACCAATTTGTCACTCCTTCAGTTGCTGCAAGCTGTAACTTGAAATTAATAAATCAGAGATCTTTACAAGTGTGAGCTAGTCACCCTGTAGTCTCCTGCAAATCAGTGAAAGCATCCAGAGAAGGACGATCAAGAAGCAATATTTTGATCAGTACGAGAATGATCTCAGCAAGCGCTGTGAACAGGGAACACTGAATTGCTTTCTCAGTCTTTCCCTCCACCCATAACACCAATTTATTTTTTCCAGTCCTTGTCTGTCTGTATGTGTGTGTAGTGGGGGTAGTCTATAAGGAGGCTATAGTTTTAACTAGTTCGGTGTATGCTGATGGTTCTTACCTGTAGTTAGAGTACATTCATTTGCAATAAGTAGTAACTCTTGTTAAGTATAGAAGCCTGGTCTGTGCTTTCTGTCAATCTGCATATGAATTGGAGAATTCTGCATGCTTTTAAAAATCTTCAGCTGTTGTAATGCTTCCTGGAATAGCAAGCCATGATTTGCAGCATGCTAACCCAGCGAGATCAAATTCTTTAATTATCCTCTCTTGTCTTTATCATTTTTAGTCACATATTTTTCTCCCTCTCTTTCATCTTCACCTTTATATTGCTGCTGTTCATTTGTTCAGTAATGTCACCTTCTTCCCAGAAGGTTAACTGCCAGCGATTTCCACCTCTGTGTGTCCAATTCTTAGTCATTCCACAAAGGTCAACTGTATCCAGTCCATTCTATCAGTCATCCATTTTCACATCTGCTTCCCTCCGACTACTTCCATCAATCTTCCCCTTCAACGAGTGTTTCGCTATCTACCATCTGCTGTAATGATGTGATTGAAATATTGTGACCTTCTCTGTTTGATGTTATGCGCGAGTTTCCTCTTTTATCCCCAACTATGCAGAATGTCATCCTATAAGCCCATGTGTCAAATACTTTCCGCTTACATTGTGTATTTATATTTTTTCCTCATTTCCTGTATCTGTACTATTTCCAATTGTTTACTCTAACTGCTAGAGTTAATTAGCTGGAATCTCCAAAATGCTCCCCCAATCAATCACATTATTCACTGATGCGTTTCCCATTTATATCTTTTCTGCACAGAAGAAAAAAAATAGCTGAATATAGTAGTGATTTACTGTCTTTCATATCATAATTGATAAAATGAGACAAGACAGGATTCTAATACAGGGACCAAAATGAAATAAAGCTACTTTTTAGAATAATAGTTTGTGCTTTATGTATAAATTAAACTTTGCATAAATTTACTTGGTTTACTTCAACTGGAACATTTTGCCTGTATCTCTTATCTGATCTACACTTAGAACATGGACAGGGAGTGGACCAGTCACCCTCTGGTTATGAGGCAGATGCTGCATTAGTTGTCCCGTAACTACTAGGCAGAAAAAAAACGTTTGAATGCATGAGGAAGTAAGGCTTGCAGTTGAAATGTGCTTTAATCGATATTAATATGTGTACAGACCCTGTTTCCAAGTTGCATCCTTCTGAGTCAGTAATATCAGGGCGGCTATTTAAAAATAAATGACTTGGTGATACAGTGTACTGTTGTTGCTTAAGGCGAGCAGTATCTACGTGAGTCATTTCTGATGGCAGTCAAGCACACTTAGAATAATTTATCAGCCCATCATAAGCTGGCACTTTATGCAAAGCTTATTTTTTATTCTCTGTCTATGTAAGCACTGACAATCTAAGACCTCTTGTCTTCCATTCACCTTCCAATGGATTTGTTCTCATTGCAGGTCCATATTCCCTGGTAATCTAGCAATGAACAGAATGGCTCTTGGTTCATATTCACATTTTCACTATTCTGGGCGTGCAGGTGACAGCTCTGGGTTCTAATGATCACGTGCTTACAAATTGAGACAGCATTCTTCAACCTTGTGAGGCTGAGGAGGGAAATTGGGAATGCAGTCACCAATGAAGGTAATGAACTAAAGCTTGCTTGCAATAGTGTAGTGTTAGAAACCATTGAGTGATACTGGTCAAGCTAAGTGGGCATATCTGTAGCTTTGGTATGTGGTACTAGGGAGAAATTAATGAAAAAATGTACTTGAGTGGATGAATTTAATGTCATATGGAGTACAGAAGGAAAAAAAAGCAACAATGTTCGGTTGAAAAAAAAGTTGAGGGCTAGGAAAAGTAAGAAAAAGGTTCTTTCTTAAATAAAACTAAATGTGGCATAAAATCTCGAGCAAAAGTTCGCTTTCTAAACAGTGAATTGTTCACTTTTTGGGCCAGAGAGGTTGACTGGGAATCAATAATATTTAATATATTATTAAAAGGATCATTTTATTGTGAGAGTTTTGTGGACAATTATTTTTGCATTGGCCAGGACGTGTTACCTACCCCTAATTGCCATTAAACACAGTGGCTGGAAATTTCCCTTCCCTGGTGTGGTTTAAATAATGGCGAGAAATGTGGGCAAATACAATGGGAATGGAAAGATCAGATTCTTGTTGTTGCAAAAATGTTCCCAATAATTCCCTCAAGCAGAAAATGGCAAATTCAGAATCTCGTTATTGAGTGGCAACCATCTCATTGCTCTGCGTCTACATCTCATTAAAGTCCCAGTTGAACTGATTTAAATGCCTCTTCCAATCCTCCCCTCTCCTCTCCTCTCTGGGTGGCACAAATACCTGGCGTGTAAATCAGACTGGGTACCTGGCAGCTGTAGCTCAGTGATTGCTTGCCCCAGTCAAAGTCCCGACAAGCTCCATGGCCACTATTCTCCTTTACCTGCCATCGATGCAAGTTAGCATCAGCAAATCACCAGCTTCAACACATCATCTCAGACCAAAACTGTCATTGCTTCAGCCTTTAGAGCTAAGGGTTATGAACAACCTGCATGTTTCTGCCAGGCCACTTTGAATGCAGGGACACCCATGCATCTGTGTATCTCCATGGGATGCAACCTATGGCTCTAAGCATGCTTTCTTTTTTGGAATTAGGGAATTTCACAGCTTACTTGGAGGCTTCCAGCCTTCAAGTATAATTAACAATGCTTTTTTAGCCCAAACACACATACGCACTGACACCAGGTACTGCTTACCTCGTGCAGAGAGTAAGGCAGACAGCTTGTAATTGTGGGGAGCACTGTGGCACCTTTCACAACTGGAGCCTACAAAGACAGGAATTTCCTGAATGTAGACAAAGCCAGGGAATTGCACCAACCTTCTGAGAATGGAGATCAGACTGAGGATCCAGACGTCGGTCAGGAGAGCTATCCAAGAGACCACAACACAGCAATGCATCACTGAGCCTGAGACACACAGATAACGTCATGAAACCAGCTTCCAGGATGCATGAGCTGGGTTTGGACTTCATTAAACAGCTTACGATTCTGATGGTAATGTGGCAAAAAAGCCCCTGCTTAGTGCAGATGGCATATGGAACCTTATTAGTTTCGCAGTTCTTGACCTTTTGTGTTGCTGAATAAATGTTGCATTATCCACGTAATTGTGCACATGATATTTTTGTGAGGATTCCATTTTTAATGTATCACATGTCCTATCTCCGGGTAAAAGCACTGTCAGTGAGACAGTGCACTAACATTGCATGGTGCTAAGGTTAGTTAATGCTTTAGGTATCCATCAGCATATCACATCTGAATATCATAGTGAAATCGCTCATAATAGATAGCAAGTTCAGAAGAATCCTTAGAAGTCTCCTTTTGACCTTCCCATCACGGGTTACCCTTCAGTGTTTCAGAATGAGTGTTGACTGAAATGATTGAGCATCCTTGAGGTCAGTGTTGAACTTCGAAGAGGCTCCACTTTGTGCAGCTGTTTTCTCAGCGAACACTGCACTATGGGGGAGAGTGGACATGTGAGCTGCCCTTTGTACATTTCCCAGCCTTGATTAGCAATTCAGTCCCTCAAAAAGCTGTTCAAGTGAACCTTTCCCTGCAGAGGTATGTGAACTCTCCACTCTCCGTACTCCCTGCACATTGTGTTTACCCTCAGCTGTAGGGAAGGGAGCCTGCTCTTGGTATGTCCATTCCAAGACTTGGGCAGTCATCCCCGGGATCTCCTTGGGTCTGGAGGGACCTAGAGGTGTCATGCATCTCCTGCCCAGATGCAAGCTCACCAGTTGAACAGCTGCAGGCTTTGGGGTCACAGGCAAGTGGAAGGGGCACCTCTGGAGCATTTTGAGAAGAAGCATTTGACAAGGCAGACTGTCGCTTCTCCTCCCTGCTGCCTGCTGGCATCACCCTGTCTCCCTGAGGGGAAGGGACACTTGGAGCGGGGCCAAGCTCCCCAGACTTGCCCCTGCCCACATCTTGGCATTGCTGCTGAGCACTTACAGCTAGCGCAGGTCTGTGCACACAACTGGTGGGCACGGAATGTGCTGGACCTGGCTTATCCGGGTGATCACCAGCCTGTCTTTGAAGATAACAGTCTCAGGCACACCAGGACCAGCACAGCACTGAAAGCATTTGCTCCATGCTTTCTCTCCAGCTAACCAAGCGACTCTGCCTGTATCTGTAATTTGGAGAAGTCTTTCATGGCCACGAATATGCAGTTCGCTACCTTCCTGCCTGGCGGTTCCCTGACCTACTTTGGAATGTGTCAGTGACGCGCGGGCCAGATTGTTCCCCTGACATGTAACCTCCCAAGGTGAAATTCTCTGAGCTCATACAGGCGCAGTCCCTAGTCCCAGGCTTTGTCGTAGCAACCTCCTGAGGGTTCGCTGTCCTACTCCTCAAAGGTGAAGGTGTAGCCGAGGGATTCTGGCACCGGTCTCTTTGTGACTGGCTTGCTGGGTGCCATTGGTGCCAAAAGTGAACGAAAGAAAAGAAATTTGGTGTCAAAGATGGATAACAGCTTGAGTTAATAGTGGTGGTGATGAGACAGCAGTGGAGATCATGACAATTAAGCTTACTGGGTCTCCATCCCCAGTGAGAAGTTGTGCTCTTCTCTGGCTAAATCCAGAATTTTCTCCCTGTAGGGATTCAGGAGCCTGATGTTGTACGAATAAGTAAATTTTACAATTCATGTGTTTTGGGAATATAATTTCAAAATTAGGAATTGATCTTTTTTTAAATGTAAGAAAATTGAAGCTACCGGGTTTGAGAAACTGATAAACAGCCCTAAGATAATTACAGTTCATGGTTCGTGTTTACTTTGAGGGGTTACCAGTTAGAGATTTGAAAACAAAAAAACAGCATCAAATGACCCTCTTGTAGCTTCTCAATGGGACCAAGGATTTTGATAAGATTATACTTGACTCTCTTTGGTGTGTATATCATTTATGAAATTTCCCTAGTTTGAAGACTGGGTTGAAAGCAACTGGTAAACAAGGGCAGATATTGAAGTATCCATATATTTCTCCAATCAAAGGTAAGGTTTTATTTTAAGGGGAATAAAAATGAAAGAACTGTGGATGCTGGAATCTAAGGTTTCTTAGTGTTGGAAGTGATGAGTTTAAATTTCTTAATCAAATATTCCAGCCATGCTACATTGCTGTGGACACATAATCCTTTTATTTGTGTGTTGTTGTTGTTCCTAGCACCACTGGCGAGGCCAGCACTTATTGCTGATCCCTAATTGCCCAGAGGGTAGTTGAATCAACCACATTGCAGTGGGTCTGGAGTCACATGTAAGCCAAATCATGTATGGACAGTAGTTTCCTTCCCTACAGGAATAAAGGTTTTTCCAACAATCGTCAGTCTCTTAAGTCTAGGTTTATTTCATTGAATTCAAATGCCACCATGTGTCATGACAGGTTTTGAACCCAAGTCCCCAGAACGTGACATGGGTCTCTGGATTAATGGTCCAGCAATAATATGACCAGGCCGTTGCCTCCCTTATGTCTGTGACTTCACACAAAGGCAGTTGAAGTCAATTTAGGAGCAACTTTTGAGATGAACAGAGAGAGAGAGAGAGAGAATGTGTTGGGACCACTGACAGTGCTATCAGAGAATCAGGCAAGAATTCAATGAGAACCATACTTGAACTGGGGTGTCCATAATCATACCGTACTTGAGAGTTAGAAAGTGATCTTGCCAAGAAATCTATATAGTAGAGCGCAGGAAAGTACTAAGAAATTCAAAGTGAATTCTTCAGAGTTGTGGCACACCTTTTTTTGGGTCTCAGGAGAAGTGAAATAATGTATAAGGGGAACTCCTTGGTGGAAATAAAAGTAGAACTGGAAATAGTCAGGTTTGGTTTTGGAGTCGAAAGCAAAAGCGTTTGCAAAATATAGTGTTTGGTTAGTAATAATGGTATTGTTTGATTGTTAAAAAATAAAGGTTCATTTTAAAGTTAAAAAATTAATGAGGTAATTCATAACTTGGAGACTGAATTTCTTATTATGTTGATTGCTCTTCACTGTGATCTTAACAGTATGTGCTGTGTTAGTCTGCAGCTGGTGGTAAAGTGTAATTATCTGTTGATTTCAGGCCTGTCTTTAGGCTACTCAAATCACCTTTCAAAAACATGACAGCGCATGATATGTTCCTGAAGGTGGTGTAGGCAATACTCTGTTCTCTGTTATGCTTCTTTATTTTTATTTACCTGGATATTGGGAAAAAAAGATGCACTCCAGGTTATAGGATACATGGAAGATATTCACAGGAATATCTGGTCATACTAGTGCTGGGAAAATAGGGCATGTTAAAAGGTCACAGGCTACTTCTGTAATTCTTGCATGTGCCAATGTTCACAAGAAAGAAAGCTCATTTTTAAACACAAAAATGTTAGTGTTGTGTGCAGTGAAAGAATCAACAAAGAGTTGAAAGGGAGAAGAAATTCAGCCTGACATTCAAATTAGTAATAGAATGTGCTTCAATGATGGCTCTGCCCTTTACTTGCAATGACAGAGTGCCCAAGGGTACTTTTGTATTTGTTGAAATGCAAGATGAGAAGAAATAACATTTCCACTGAGAGATACCCAATTATGATGATGTAAAGCATATATTTTGA